ACAATTCAGTTTGTGCGAGATATTATCTATACATATATGTATCTACATACGTATGTGTATATGTATATATATATATACATATACGTATATGTACATATGCACACTATTTATGTCGTGTCTTCCTGCCGCACTTCTTTCTTTCTTTGCTTCCTTCCTTTCTCCCCATCGCCTTCCTTCATTCCTTCCTTGCTTCCTTCCTTCTTTCCTGTGCGCGCCACGCCGGACAAAAAATAGAAGGAACGAACACAAAAGACGATCGAAAAATGCTTCGTTAAGGAGATGCAGAGCTCCTGCAAGTCGTCGTGTATGAACCAGCACTCACATGTACTCACAGTATCTCTCTCACGAGGCCGCAATGTCCGAAGTTCTGAGCAGCGGACATTCTCTGCAAAAAGGCCTCCGAGCAAGAATAGGCTTGGCAGAGCCCAGCGCAGGATCTGCAGACCTGGGTCAGTGCTACCGTCTCCAAACAAGCAGAGGCTTGCACAGTGGATCCATCACAGATCGCTGCATTCAAGGAGGCGACCTTCCTTGCTCAGAAGACCGTACCTCGATGTGCCTGGAAATGTGCACACTTCTTCTCCAAAGCTACATCACATTATGACTCTCATTCTAGATCACTGCACTCCTTCTTGTCTATCCAGGGTTTCTCAATTCTGGCATCTACAAAGTCCGGACTGGCCAAAGGAACGTGTAGCAGTTCAGCTCAGGAGACCACGTGGAAACTGGCCGGTCTCTTGTGAACCTCAGGCGTAGAAGGTTAGATGTGGCGTTCTGTTCGCATCGCTGACGATTCGGCTCGTCATCACTGCACGCCGAGGCTGAAACCGCTGAAGCCATCTGCGTGCAACAGGGCCGCAGGCCTGCAGGAGATTGATGCCGACAGCCGTCAAAGCTTTGCGCTGCTTTCTCCGCGTGTGGCTGTTGCATCTTTTGCAGAGTTCAACCAAGAGGAATGTTTCTGCACACTGGCGGCATGACTTCTCCCCCCGTGAGCTACCGTAGTTGGAACGCTCGTCAGCAGCTTACAGCATTTTTCTGGGCAAGTTGCTCCGTAACCGGCTTCGAGCTCTTTCGATGACGGCTGGTGCAGCAGCAGACATGTTTTCTCGAATAGGTTCCAGCCAGCTCTTTATGCCTCGCATTGACAGATGTCGATACTACTCTACTAGACGCCATCAGACCCCTGGAACAAGCTCCCCTCCGAACTTACAGGTGGAAGGAGCTTACATTGGGTGCCCAGCTTCATGAAAGGGCTCCAGTTCCCCGAACCCCGCACAGGATGGCGGAGAAGAACTTGTAATGAAAGGCGGAAGGATGCGAAAGGCAGAAAAGGTTATCCCATGTCAATGTGAGCCCAACCGAGCCTCGACGCTTCGAGCCGCGGCCTGAGCTTCGTAGAGCCTACCTTTTCTCCCAAAAGTCAACTAAAGACGATTTAGCGACACGAAGGCATGGAACTTCCGTCTGCGAAGCTCTGCATCTTTCCACTCTTTCCCTTGCTCTCGCAAAACTTGAGGGAACCCGAACATGGATGCAGCCATTTGCGAATGGTGCCATCTTGCTGCTCACCCTCCCTGTCTCCTCACCTCTCCTGCAAAGCCAGCAGGAAGACGAGCACCAATCAGTTGCCACAGTTCTCCATTCAGCCGATGTTCCATTGACGAGCACCAAGTCTAGAGATGTTTGCCTCTGCACTGCTGTGCTCCGAGGCATCCTTTAAATCAAGCACTCAAACCACGGTCAGGCGCACAAGGTCACTCATTTTACATCATCTTCCATTTCGAAGTGTTTGTTTTGGACATGCCAGTCTGCCGAGGCCAAGAACACCACAACCGCAGCTTCTACTTGGATGCTTGGAGCAAACCCAACGGCGAACACCACAGGCACCACCCCACAGGCCACAGCGAGGGGGGTAGACACATGAGCCGAGAGCAAGACTGCTGGAACCACGTTTGGGGATGGATACCATGGGGTGGGGGGCGGCTCAGGCCCTGCATCATAATAACTCTATCTATCTATATATATATATACATATAATAACTCTGTATATATATATATATATCTCATTATATTTCTTTTTTAATTATATAATTATTTATTCATATACATATGTCTATCTATCAGCATCGACGTAGACATGCTCTTCAACAGGGACCGTTTGTCGGCGAGAGTGGCGAATCAAGATTCAATCGCTCGCCTTTCGCTCGGACGGGCGTAGTCGCATCTTAGCATCACCACGTCCCAGCAGAAATCTCTTGCTCGCTCAAAGTGATATACATGTTATGCGATGTTGGGCCTCGGTGATGCTGTCTGGCGCTGGCCCGGGCTCCATGTAGGAGGCATCCCTCATAGTCTGCTCATACCATGACAGCTGACAACGTGGATAGGTCGGATAGGCAAGGTGCTGCGGAATGACCCCATGATGAAGAATCTTGCAAGCTCTGCTAGAAAACCACAAGAACTGGATGTAACAGGCTTTCAGGTGCTGTTGACATCATGACAGCTGTGCTAAGCGTGTGGTGCGATCTTGACGCGGCGCCGACCTCCTGCAACACATACTTGCTGACACCAGCTTTTGCTCCTCAACAGCCTGTCTCTTTGGACAGGAAGTCATCAGGCAAGTCGGAATTGCAGTACATCACTCCTGACTCCATGAGCTGCACTGCCTGTGAGAGGCAGGGGTTGGCACCCACTCGCCCCCACCCCCACGTGCGCACACTCATGTGCCGTATACAGGGAATGAATTGCAAAGCTAAGACAGATAAACCAGGACAGGGACCAGAGCAAGCATCCGGGAAGTCAGAGCCATGACCCTTTAGATCGTCGCGCGCGGACATCGAACAACACAGATCTTGCAAAAGCAAGGCCACACATGTAGTCACTGTAGTCTGTACGGGGAGAACCCCCTTCTCTCGAGAAGTCCTTGCACAAAAGCGGAGTCATGAGCTAATCTGTAAACGTTCACACATCTTGGTGAAAGTGCTTAATTCACTAGTTCAGAAAATCAGGGCTTCAGGATGAAGCTGTTTCACGCTTCGGTTTTCGGGCCCTCATTCACTCTGACTCCGGGCTTTGGAGGTAAATCAGCACGCCTCCTTCTCGCAGTCTGTTTGTCCGAATCGCTGCCACACACCCACTGTGCAACGCCGACCTGAGAGTGCAGGCTTCCACTTTACCTCACTTTCATCGTTGGAAGAAGAAGGAGACGTGCAAGATGGTCCCAAAGTTACACACTGACACGAGTCAAACTCTCGCCGAGGGACAGAGGTGGCGCAAGGCTTCATTATCAATGTTGGTCAGCCGTTCAGTCCATTCCATGTAAAATCCGTCGAGGCACAAGTCCTGCCAAGGCAAGTGGCACAGCACTAAGACGACGAGATCTTGACATTCACATCCTAGACTCAACTAGTGATGAGCCCGCTTGACTCTACTATACTATCGTGCGGCAGCCCTGCCGGGCATTCTCGAAGTCTGCAATCTCGTAGTCGTAGTCGCAAACCACTTTTTGTAACATGGCATGTCTATGAATGTCTTACGTTTGAGCTAGCCCAGATTTATAAGTCAACCGTTCATCATCCCAAGTGCTGTGGCAGTTTCTTGACGGATTGCCGCGTTGCGCTTCTCTTGAATGGAGCACCCCGCCCCCCACTCCTTTCGTTCCAGGTGCTCCACAACAGTTTCCATGTACGACGAGCTTCCCAAATCAAGAGTTTGATATCTTGCTTCCAAACCTGGCCGCGGGACACATGTCAGCAGTAGTAGCTGTGGGCGCTGCAGCCCTGATCTCGATTTTCGCTGCTCTTCGAAGGCAAGCGCGAAGCCCCGCAACTGCTCGAGCTCAAAGGACATGACCAGCGCACATGCTCCAAGCAGCTCTGGCTGCGAGGACAGGAGTACGGCCACTGCACGTCCAACACCACCATCATCAAAGCCTTTCAATTCAATGACCAGTTTACATTTTTTGCGAAGTGCAGTCTGGAGGGTCTCCTGCAAAGAACAAATACAAGCTCCTTGGAGCAATGGCTTCTGCATGAGCTCTTCTGCGGTCATCTCTGCGATCTTTGGCATACCGGTGCTTCCCGTCAGCCGATCCAGGGCTTCGTCATGAAACAGAAGAATCTCGCCGTCCGAGCTTAACCGAACATCACATTCGCAAAGCTTGACTCCAGCATCCCACGCTGAAGCCAGCGCAGGCAAAGTGCACTCCAAGGGACGCTTATCAAGCAGCTGTGGGCAGTGAAAGCCTCTATGTGCCACTAGACCTTCCAGTAGCTGAGCTGGAAGCCGCACCACCAGCTCCTTCAACCATTGGGATGCTGCAGCATGTTGCATGTTTCTCCTACGAACACCAGTAGGCGCAAGGTGGCACAGCCTGGACCGGAAACAGCCAACCCAAAACATGGAGATCGAAAAGACACCCGGCGCGCGGTGCAGCCAATGGCTCAGAACAATCAAGCGGTCTGAAGATAGACATCTGCAGTGAGTTTAAGCTTACGCATCGATGGCTTGTCATGGCGTCCGCCTTTCTCATGTTTACATGCGAACACGCTCTATTTCTTGCCAGCAGGGCCGGCACCTCAACGTGCTCGTTCAGCCCTTGGCCTCGTAGCATCTCGATGAACAGCTGAACTACCATGTCCACACAGGTGTTTACTTGCACAGGCTATAATTCCGACTGCCTGATCGTCAAACGCGACACCAGACTTGACAACAACCAAAAGTGTCTTACCTACAATGTGAGAGAGCCGATCTGTCAACTCTGCTATACAGATGCTACAGTACCGCAGGCGAATGAGAATAGAAATCTGTACTTGATCTACCTGTCCGACTCCTCAGCCAGACTAGAACGAATCGAGCAAACCATAAGGATTATCTGCGTTCAGACTTCTCCATGCTTGGCAGACAACCTGGCTTCATTCAAAGCCAAGCGCCGCCAGCTGAAAGATGCTGGTTGCATAAGCTGTCAAGAGTGAAACAATGATGTTACTTTGCTGCAATCAGCCCTCCATTCCGAACATCGAGGTGAATTCCTGCCGGGCACACTCGGTTGGGCGGCTGCACTGTGCTGACATCCGCGCACCTCATGTGACTTGAGGTCGCCGGGGCTGACACTCGGGCGCACCTTCTCCAAAGCCACCTGCGCAGAGCGGGCATCTCAGAGTGCTTCTGCAGCCCGCTTTGCTTCATTCCGAGCTCCGCTCTTCGGACGCCTAGTGCTTCCGTTCGCTCAGACGGCTTTCTCCAAAATCATTGCAGACGCCGCAGTAACCCCAGGGATACTCGTTAATTACATTGCAACAATGTCGAAAATTAAGAATCGGAGGGGGGAAACGCTTCCGACTTCCAAACTCTTTCCGTGTCGGCACCATGATCCAGCGAAGCGTTGCCTCAAAGTCGGATGCTTCGACATCTGGCCTGGTGTCATGGCAATGTCACGCAATGTCTCAGGTGTCACTGTGCCCCAGCAAAGCCAGGACAGCCAGGAAAGCCATGCCAGGAATTCGACAGCAGCTCGGATGCCGGGACCTGGTGGAGAGATGGAGAGGCTCTGCTTGCGGATCTGCAGTGCAGTCTTTGGAAACTTGCGCCTCCATGAGAGTCATGGGCACAGCCCCAGGTTCCCCGGGACTGCACGGTGTCCAGAAGCTCCGCTTGCCATCGCCTCTCGGTATCGCTCAACCCGGGGTGATGAGGTTTGGATCTGCCCGGTTCAACTCACTGCGTGCAACTCGGAACGAGCCGCTGCTGCCGAGTATGGCCCACAACTGAGTCCTGCAACTACCTTACGTTTTCTGTTTTGGAGTTTTACAGCAGCCACCTATTGACAAAGAACGAAAGGCTTGACTCCTTTAAGAAGGAGATGTCTACATGCACATTTTCCCAGGACCGCGAGCTGCTTAGCGGCCTAGCTTGTCGTGCGCTGTGCAAACGCTGCAGGTATTTCTCAGCAAATGACTTGCAGCACTGACACCAAGGAATTGCGGACGGAAGCGAGCAGCGAGACCTTAATTACGTTGGTCGTGCAACGTCAGGCCTGTGACCCTCTCGACGCGCTTGAACGCTCTGGCTCGTTGGCATTTCCTGACTGGCCTCGGACAACTTCTTGTCAATCCAGCTTGGTTTGCAGCTGATAGTGTTGAGTAGTTCGAAGATGTAGGGGCTGCATGCGCTTGGTAGCATTGGCACTCAAAAACTGCCGCCGTTTCCACTCGACATGTCCGCCAATCGCCGAAAACACGGTTACCAACGCCATGAAGCTTTGCATGACTTCGCGCAGCCCGCGACATCGTGAACAGGTCTAAATCTGTCTTCAAACGGCAGCATTGTTGACTGCCACGCCTAGGGACACCAAGAAAAGTTGCACGAAAGCTGCCAGGCTCATCACGAGTACTTAGAAACCAGGACAGCAAAAGAGTCAGCACCATGTCTGCAAGGTCAACCTTCTTACACCCGATAACAAAGGACTCGAATAGAGCACCGTTTCGTAATGAGCTGTTGTGCACTCGTCGGAGGAATAGATAGTGCATTGTCAGAACAAATGCATGTAACTTGCCTGACAAGGCTTCAGACCCTCACAGACCCTCCAACTCTGCACGAGGAGAATGGCCCATCTGAGATATGTGAGGTCGGCATCATTCACCAAAGCATTTTGCTCACAGGAAGACAAGCCGAAAGTCGTGCCATTCTGTCACCACTCTGTAGTGATTGTAGTGGTACTTCCTGCAAAACGGTGAGAGCGACGACTCGAACCTTTCGTCCCCTGCGACATGCCATCGCTTGTTATATCATCCTTGGAGACGCGGCCAGATCGTCCTAAGCGCAGGTCCGCGCTTTTGTAAAGCACCCAACCCCGAGAGAAGAAAAACAACTACGGAACACTCACCGTCAAGATTTTTTCTGCGGTGAGCGCTTTCGCCTGACTCCTTGTGGCGATAAGGTGTGCCTTGTGCTGTGCTGCTTCCTTACACATAGAAGTCAGCAGCCATAAGTTCGCAAACGCATGCACCACGTGCATGCGAACATGTCTTAGATTCTTGCAAAACAAGACTTGCTTTAAAAGAACCAACCCGACACGAGCGCAACACAAGAGCATGCAGCTCCAAGAGTTCCAAAAGCATTTTGAAGACCAGAAAATAAGAAGCTGGAAGAGCTCCAACCCAGAGCATGTGCATGTGCCACAAGCTTGTTGAGGCAAACCTCAAGGTTCAGACGAAGAAACGCATGAATTCAACTGCTGTCGCCAAGTGACTAGCAAGAGTTTAGCAGCTGCTTGTATTGCTGCCGCCTTTTGGTCGGGGTTCGCAGTGGCTGGAAGTGCATGAGCATCTGCACTTCGATTCGAGTGGGATGTGTAAAAAACACTCATAAATTATTCAGGCATTAGCTTCGGGCGGTGCAAACAGTCAACGCGAGACGTGTCTCGAACAAACCGCATGAAATCGCATGAATTCCTGTCAGCGCCGGTGGAGCCTAACCGGTGTAACCTTCGTCGGGTCACTCGCGACAGCACTTAGCAACGAACATTCGTGGTCCGTGATGACATTGACCGTCAACAGCAACAATGTCATACAGCTACACAGGAGATGCAGGAGATGCGGCAGTTTCTTTCTATTTTTCAGGACAATAGAGCCGCAAGCTATCCGCAAGCTTGAAGGCCAGCCAGTATAGCCAGTGTAACAAACTGAAGTGAAGGCAATGCTAGTGCTGGTGAGGCTATGCAGGTCGACCGACTCCAAGGATGCAGGGCATGAAATCTTCTGCATCAAGGCACTCGAAAAGGGCATCCCTCGTCAGGATAGAGATGTCGGCACCTGAATTCTTTCTTGCCCCACAACAAGATGTGCTGCTAAACTACTATCTTGAAGTCGCAGCGAGTTCACGGCAAGAACTGCCACGCCAACATATGCCAACAAGCTGCCGCTGTAACCGTCCGTCTGGGCGGCTATTCCACGGATAGCCTGCCATCCAGTTTGTAGTCAAGCCTAGTCACCGTCACTGACTCGAATGAGAGAGAGCCCCTTACCATGCTCTGGGCGGCACAGCTTATGTTCGACATCGGAGGACTTCGAATGGCTTGAGGGGCGGGGCCAGGGACGCAAGCTATTCGGCCCGGGCTGGAACGACGGAACAAAGCTGGCGAGTCGGGCTCCAAGCATCGCATCATCGAAACACACCAGCAACGGAAGGGAAACAAAGCTGAGATTGCAGGCATCCCACATGCAACCACCACCGTATCAGCAGCGTAGGGAGACAACACAGCTGGCATCATCACCTTCAATCACATTCAACATCCAACCGCACCAGCAGCTCAGCAACGGAGAGAGCGGCGCACCGGGGGTTGGGGGTGGGAGAGGCTAGGCAGCCTGCCGGCCCCTGTTAAGATTTCTTTAGGTGCCAATCACGGATATGCATCGAAATCATGAATCTGCTTCTCTTCAGGTGGAGAGTAGTTTTGCTTGGCCTCGTGTGTGTTGCATTCCTCCCTGATGCAGTAAAGGCTGCAAGTTTCAGCCATAACCGAACTCCAAATGTTCATGACAAGCGATTTAATAAATGTCGGCTCCCTCCCCAGTTTTTGCATTGATTTCCCGGCCCTCTATTTGCAAGGCTGGTGCCTCTCATTCTTGAGACATCATAAAACCGCTTGAGGTTTCAGGGACACGCAGGCACTCCCAGCACGGTCCTCGGGAGTACAGCTGTGTGGCGTGTCTCCTTGGCGACAGACGAAGAATTGAACAAAGAAGCAAATCTCCGTCAACCTGACAAGTCTGACAATGACGAATTCTGACCCATTCGGACCATACTTGACACTGACATGATGCTAGGCAGCCGACCCAGGTGCAGTGTCAGCAGCCGAACCCGCGCCTCCAAATCCTCAAAGCCGCGAATACTGCAAGCAAAGCATTATGCGATAACACTATTGAGCCGATGGACGGCACTTGCGTCTCAGTTGCGGGCCGGTAGCGGGATGTACACTCGCTTCTCGAAGCGACGGCGGATGGCGGAGTCCAGATCCTGCACTGGCATGAGCCACGCGAACCGAAGGCTCACGGGGCGAGTCAGCACAACAAATTGAAGATACGAGAATCAAACCATCCAAAAAACCTTGTGTTTTCGAGCTGGCGAATGGAACCGAAACAGGAGGACGAGCAGCGGGGCGGGATGCATCAGTGCTACTGTCACAGTGTGCCGGGAATTGATAACCGTCATGCTGGGCAAGCTGACGAGTCATCTTGCTGATCTTGGCAACGAGATTCAACGATATATTCAACAAATAAAGGCTAAAGGGGGGGGCAAGTTTACGTGTCATCTTGGTCGTCCTGCTCGGCGAGTGTCTTGGACCATGACAAGATTACGAGTCATCTTTGTCATCTTGGTCGGGAGATTTTTTGGGTCTGGGGGGTCATCTTGGTAATCTTGGTCATCTTGACCACTAGTGGTGCAAGTAGTGCAAATGGGCAAGATAATCAAGATGGCCAAGATTACCTAGATGACGCCCCGCAGACCCAAAAAGTCTCCCCGAGCAAGATGACCAAAACGATCGCCAGGTAACGCTAAACCCCAAACCCTAAAACCCTAAACCCTAAACCCTAAAACCCTAAGCCTTAAGCCCTACAGTAAACCCGGAACCCAAACCCCTAAACGCTAAACCCCAAACCGATGACCGCGCAGGGTGCGCCTGTAAACCCTATCTCTAATCCCCAAACAAAAACCACTTGCAAGCTTCATCCAAACTTGTGCCCACGCAAACGCATTTCATAGTCGCAGCGCCATTCGCTCAAGAGAAAAGAGCTGCACGGTGCTTGAACCATCCCCGCTTTCGGTCGCTTTCACGGCAGCGGGAGCCCTTCTAGAACAGAGGTTCCAGAAGGCTCCAGGGCGACGCTGTTGTCTGGGTAGTTCACTTGCAGAAGCGTTGGTGAGAGCTAGTTGGACGATGGCCGAGCTGCGGTACACCAAAGATGGTTGCCGATCTACGATGGTTCGCCAGAGCTGTTTGTGGCCTTTCACAAAGCTGATTTGATTTATGCCAAGACCATAGAGTGGAAGAAGAGGAGTCTTGTGGGGCCTCGATTGCAGGCTGCCTTGGAGGGAAGCGCAAAGCTTGTCGTGGAGCACAAGAACCCGGCCCACCCGAATGCCGATTCGCGTGCTGGAAGGCTTGAAGCTGCAGGTTCGTGCTCCCACCTTGGCAGAAGCTGGAAGGACGATGTCAAGGTTCTTCTACGGCATCAAGCGGCGCAGAGGTGAAGGCATGGCGGCTTGGATCGTACGACATGACGAATCTGTGTTGGAAGCGAAGAGGACCCTGGCGGGAGGCCATCCATAAGTATGGGCCGGGGGCCGAAAAGTTTTCCTTGTCCCGGACTTCGTCATGAAGATCTTCAGGCCGCGAAAGAATGCGAAAGACGGCAGACGCGCGGCTGTTCCGAAATGGGAGCCCATGAAAGAGAAGATCATGGTACAGAGGGTGCACCTGCCGAGGGAACAGAAGAGACCGAGGGAGTTGCTCCCTCGGAACATACCACCGGGGCGGAAGATGATGATGATGATTGGTATGATCATCAGTGGTGGAACTCCAACTGCGGATACTGGAAATGGGCATCTTCGGCCAGTGCCCGAGGCTACTGGAACTCTCAGAGCACGAAGGCTGGAGACAGCTGGGCTTCCTAGGATGCTTCAGAAGCCGCCTCGGCCCAGGCGGAACGGTTCCTTCCGGTCTTTGTGATTGCTTGGCTCCTTTTCCAGCGGCCTGGACTGGATGCTGCGGAAAAGAGCGTGATCGTGGCAACTTTGAAGAACGACTTTAGTATTTCCAAGGTCAAGGAGGCACTGAGGCTGACATGGCCAAATGAGGAGCTGAGGAAGCGAGACTCGGGCAAGAATGCGGCGATGTTTTCCATGGAAGAGGAAGCTCTTCTGTTCTGGCAGATGAGGAGGACTTCGAGGCGCCAACCGCGCCTGAGTGGGAGGATCCAGAAGAGGGCTATGCCTATCAGGCCATCCAGGACGATGCTCAGATGAGGAGGAACGGAAACTTTTTCCCAAGTCGGCCAAATGCACGCAATCGCTCCGGAGATCGCCCTCCCATCAAGTGCTTTCGATGCGGAGGAAACAACTGTGGTCCTGTGACGAGTCGGTGAAGATGGTGCCCGGTGTGCTGGTGACGGATAGTAAGAACCTTTACGATAGGACGTTCAACGGGGCTGAAACGAGGAACAACATTGAACCCGCGTGTTTGAATCTGTTTGAAGGAGAGTATGACTTCGACTGGGCTGCTCATTCGGTGGGTTAATGGTGACAGCCAGCTTCCGAATGCCCTTACAAAGGAAACCGTGCTCCATCAGCTGTTCGAATATCATAGACGTAAAGGTCAACGGTGGATTGTGTATGATCCTGAGCTCCTTTCGGGTTGTAAGCGGAAGCAATTAGGAGTTGACCGTTTGGCCAGTGTGGCAGAGTGACTCTCGTATTGAGTGTGGCAACAACAGCTTAAAGTTGTTGGGGCCCGTGCAAGCTTCATCCAAGCTTGTGCGCAAGCAAACGCATTTTATGGTCGCAGCACCATTCGCTCAAGAGAAAAGAGCTGCGCAGTGCTTGAACCATCTCCGCTTTCGGCCGCTTTCACCCCCAAACCCTACAAATACAAACCCTGATTAAAGCGATGCGCGCGCCGGGGCGCATGTAGTCCGAAACCCTAAGCCCTATCACCCTAACATAATACCCTTAAACCTGAACCCCTAAAACCCCAAACGCTAAACCCAAACCCCTAAACCAACACCCTAAACCGCTGCCCACGTCGGACGCGCCCCTGAACCTGCGTGCGAACGTAGCCCCAGAGCATCCTGGACCCAACCCTAAAACCCCTACACCCTAAAAACCCTAAAACCCTAAATCCTGTACTAAACCTGAGATCCGAAGCCCCAAACCGTAAACCCTAAACCGATGTGCGTGTCGGGCCCTCAACCCCCCGCTAGATCCAAGCTTTTGGTGCTGGGGGATGAAGGCTGGCGCGGCGGCAGGGTAATGACGCACGGGTTACTTGCGCAAAGTCTTGTTCATGTCTGATTGGAGTGGTTCGGCTTTGGGGGTGATATCGTACGGGTTACTTATGCAAGGTATTTCTCAATTCTCATTGGAGTGAGGTTCAGGGTTGGGGGTTGGTAGCATCCGGTCTTTCTCATCCCTGATTTGAGTGAGGTTCGACGAGATATTTTGCAAGGTCGCGATAATGTACGGGCTGGGTGTTACGACTCGGCGTCGCCGACTCCAGGCTGCGACTCGGCTGGTTGTTTCCGAAGTAACTCAGGGCCGTTCTTTCTGCACTTTTTTGAAAATGCACTCTCGGCATCCAGCCGGGTGGTCGGGTAGTCCGCAGCGGACCAGGCGTAGGGAGTGTGGTCCAACGGAGAAAAGGCCGTCCTTCTGACTGGCCTTTCCGGAAACATTAGTCATGCAGAACACTAGGGGCACGCAGGCAGCTGGCCCCAAGTGCACCTGCTATTGGTTCTTAGAACAGGGGGCTGGCGTTGGACGCGACCAGACGACTGCCTGTGTAAGGGCTGAGGGTGTGGGAGGGTGTGGTTTTTCGTTCGGTCCGACTGCGGGAGTGCCTTGCGGCTGCACTAAAGGAAATCAGTTACTGTGCACGGCTGTGCAAACACAAACACTCTGCAGCTGAGGCGGTCCCAGGGAGTGTTCGTCGCTCCCAGAACGAGAATTTGTGAGCTGTCCTTTCCAACCTTCGCGCTCATGCTCTTGCATCAACGCTGTCAGCTCATGAAGTCAGCTCCCTCATAGCCCACTACATGCCAATGCTTGCTGCGCTCTACAAGACATGACTGTGACATAACTGACAATCGTTCAGCACGGGGCTCCATCCATCCTCAGCATTTCAAGAAGGACGGTATGTGTGGCCATGGAACGGACCGGAACCGCAACCGCTGCCGAGGCTCTGTGCCAGGAACTCCGTCTTGATGCGCCGGGCCGCATCTGACTCTCCAGATTCGCCTCGAGCGCCGCACAAGGAGTCCACCTGGAAGAGATTACAAAAGACCCTGCATTCACTGCATTCAGCTCTGCAAGCTGGGGCACCAGTTGATTTTTCCGTTTGCACGTTTCTTGCTTGCGGGGCAGCTACCAACAATACTTCTCGATTTGAGCACTCGTTCAGTGGAGCTCGCGTGCATCCTGCCCAACCACGGTGGGCGGCATGTTGAAGGCTACTGTGAGCAAGACATTTTCCTTTGTCGACATTTGGCAATCGCGGTGGCTTTGCGAGCACCGAGCTGGGCTCTTGGGATAGCCGTAGCTGGCAGCAACCATCAATCTCTGCATGCATTCTGCGGCCTTCGGAAAAGAAGCTTTGATGGCAAATGCTGGCAGCGTGCATAGCATGCCAGTTCAGAAGGCTGTCAAATCTGCACTCGGGTGCTAGCGCGTGAGTCGGTCGCCGTTGTCGCGCATGATAAAGCTGTTAGCCAGGCAGCACTTGCATGTCGGCTTGAATTTTGGCGGATTTTGGCTTCGAGTGAAGGCTGACGAGTCAAAAATGCATGGGTATGAGACAGAGGCCACAAGGACCCAACAATGCCACCAACTGTCCCACCTCATCCACGAAAATGATGGCCGGCTTACTCTCTCGGGCCATCTCAAATAAGCTCCGGACCTCAAGCATGGACTGGGCGGTTCAGGTTAGATGCAAGCACCAGCTGACGTGGGTTTCTAGTGCTCTGATGCCGTGTTTCGTTCGAACTGCGAGGTCAGAACTTCTGCGCAAAGCTACATTATATCTCGTGTTTCGCTTCCCGAAATGCCTTTGAGCTTTCCTTCAGACTTCGCTTTGGCAGTTGCTGCTGAAGCTGAAGCGTTTCCGGAGCTGGTTGCCACTTTACAAGCTCCGTGGCTCAATTATGCTGATGTTGCAGAAGCTCAAAACATGGAACAAAAGATGGTCTGGCCAAGGTCTCAGCGAGCTTCTCGCTCTCGCCCATCCACTTGGAAACCTGATATGACAAACACTCGATAAGGAAGATCAAGAGGCTATGTCACTTCCAGAGCTGCCGACCAAGTCAGAGGATGAGATGCTGAAGAAAGTGGCGTCTGCCTACAGGATCTAAAATTAAAGTGAAGCCCCAACCAAACGGCCCAACGGGGCATTTACATCTGCACTACCAGGCTTCCCGCCTCTGTGGCACAGGCCTTGGCCAGAAAAGACTTCCTCGGGTGCTTAGGGCACAGAGTGCGGTGGACCATGTCTGTTGCCTGAGCACCGGAGAGGTGTGTGCGTGTGTGTGTGTGTGTGGGGGGAGATCAACAGATCTCGTGAAACCTGCAGCCTGGCTCCAAAAGCATCGATAACTTCGACATGCCGTCAGTAAAGGATATTGCTTGGATTTGCTTGATGCGCCCTACACGGACACGACAAGCTTTGGCGAGAAGCTGCCAATGAAATGTAAAACGCACGGCCAAGAAGAATTCGGCGAATTCCACGTTTTCGGCTGACGAAACTCGACAAAAGCTCTACTAAACAGCTCCAGCGAGCCCAAGAGCGTACTGAGGCTCACCAAACAAATTCTCGTTGTCCGATTGTTGGATTGCGATGCGTCTTGCCTGGTAGCCACAAGTATTACACAGGGAGTTTCGACGGGTGATATCCCAAGACAGCCCAAGACAAGGGCCAGGATGGACATGAATTCATGAAATCTTGGGCGCTGTCTCGGGCTTGTGGCTCATAAGCGACACGTTAATCCTGTGAAGAACTCGCCAGGAAGCTTTCAGCGCGACGTCAGTGACAGATGGAGTCGGGAAAAGAACAACCGAGCCCTGGACCCTGTGCCTGGAGGTCCATAAAGAAGGATGCCGTGCCTCAAAATGGATCGGATGAAACAAACTCGCGAGATGTGGCAAGACTGAGCATCCCACCATGGGACTCGCTTGCCAGTAAAAAGCTGTGGGAACCTGCCAAGCTGCTCTGTGCAGTGAAGCCAATGTCCCATGGCGGCCCATGGCCCGGCTAAGGATGAGCCTGGTGGGCAAGATCACAGTCTCTTGGAGCGCGCCCTTGGCAGCCTGCACTCCCTACACTGGCATCTAGCAGCTACAGCAGAGCTAGATGGCTATCCAATAGTATCGCATGGGCCCTGGCCCTGGCCCCAAAACCCTTGCCTCCAAGCCAGCCACGTCATCCCACCTGCCAATGCAGATCAGCGGGAGAATGTTTGAACATGGTTGAACGTGTTCGTTTCATGTCTTGCGCCTGATGTTAGGCTTGCTTGTCATGATGGCGCCCTCCAGCCCTTTCCTGCAACGCCACGCTGTGGATGCCATATGATGCTCGCAAGTCCACTCAAATCTTGACTGGGACGGTCGCTTGAGTTTTTCTTTCTCTTTGTCTTCCGCATCTTCTGCGGTGCCTGACATGCTAAGTGCCGTCAGGCCGAGAGGTACCCTCCGGAAGATGTTAGTTTCAGCATCACAATCAGTCACAACAAGGAGTCATAAGGAATCACACTATCGATGTCTCACAGACTCACAGCCTGTGGCAGGCGGTGCTTGCGTCGCGGCACCGGCTCCGCCGTAGCCTCCAGGAGATGTTGGAGCCTGCACGGTTTCTCGCGTTCATTGCCAACTTCCCAAGGAGTCTCTGTTTGTTCGCAGCCTGAGTGCCATTTGCGGCTCGTGCTTTGAGCGACTCTGCCTCAGGGGCGAAGGACCGCTTGCCAAATCCCTTGAGGTGCTTCTGATATCACGGGCGACGGTAGCACCAGCAAACATAGTTCATCACCAGCAGCAACGATCGTGACAAAAAACTCACGGTCTGACCCTGCTGATCAAGTCTTCCAACCTTTCCCGCAGCATGTCCTGCAGTCAGCACGAACATCGATGTCTGCTACAATTGCGGCAGCGAGGTTGTTGCGCAGGCGCGGGATCCGCCTGAAAATATCATTATTGCCATCTTTCGGTCAGAAGACGCCTGTGCTGTTTGTGTTAGATAGAACTTAGAAGGTGTGTATAGGTATGCTCTGCCACTAATCAAATCTACATAAAAAAACATATCTCAACAAGCTTTTGCATCTGCAAGGAGCGAGCCTTGACACGCGCGTTTGGCTCCCACCTGGACTACGGCTGCAGAGTAATGTTTATTCCATGCTATTCCGGCAACTTGATCTGGGGTCCTCACTTCCACACAAACTGATAAATCTGCAAGCAGTTTTGGTACTCGCGAAGGGCATCCTGCCGGCGTACTGGCGCCATTGCGTGATGCCATGCTCTGTCTAGCTATTGTTGAGGAGGACCTGTGCCTTCATGATCAATATACCTGGTGTTAGCAATACTTGAAGCAAGCGGACGCACAAACGATTGAGTCGCACGTGACTGTTTGCTACCTGGAACGCAATTGCAGGGCTTGTCACAAGCACAGTCGAGAACACTGGGCTTTGCCCAGCTGAACTTTACAGGCCTGCCCTGCTGCAATCTGCTACAGCTGCGCTGCAGCTAGTTTGTGTACAACAACCTCCTCGTTCGACGGGGAAGGTCGGGGGTGTGGTGACGCCTCTGAGATGTCGAGCTGGTCGATGCACTGGGGAAGGATTTTGATTCTGCCATGCCCGCCTTCGAGCTTAACTGTGTGTGTGACAGATCTCCTTTCACTGTTGTGGCGCAGGGACTCAACATGATCACGGCCGTTTATCAGCCAAATCAGATAGCAGTGGGATTGCTTCGTCGGGAGATGATTGCGGCAGCGAGAAACAGATTGAAATAGTGGTTGCGATTCTCCTGGCAGATGAAGAATACAAAGCAGGATTTAAAGTTAAAGTCCGCGTACATGAGCGGGACCATGCGGGACCGGCACAGGGGTACGGTGCAGAGACAGGCTTTCCTGCACGTAGAACAAAGCCTGTCATCGACTGGAGTCAGAGTTCTTTGTGGAAGGATGGTCGCAATGGAACTGGTCACGTTGCAGGTTTACAATTTACAATGCAAGTCTTTTTCATTGACAAAGATAGAGTTCTGCTGTGACAGCAACAAACCTAGGGCGGTTCCTATATGAAGTGCCAATCGAATCTCTATCGCATGGTGGATGCAGTGCTCCGTTGGCCTTGGAGACTTGAAAAGCTATGCTGGCTCTGTTTGGCAATCGGGTTGACGCGGAATTGTGAACGAGGTGCTTGAGCTTCATGTACTGTAGAGCATGAAGCCCGCTTTGAAATCCAGCAGGATGTATGGCATCTAGAATCTAGCCTACGTCAAAGTCCGCCTGCACAACCCGTCCGCGCTGCAGTCGTCATCGGGTCGGTGCTACTCCCAAAACGGACGGCAAGCAAGCTCGATTGCTGGCTGCGGTGCTAATGGGAGCCCGTCTGTGGCCCACTGATCGTGAAGTTCCTTCCGTGACACCTTCATCGTGCGAAATGGGCAATCGTAACCACCAGCTTTCAGGAACCGTTTCCATAGGCCATGGCCCATAACCCATAGCTGTTTCCGCTTGTTGTCCTTCGGGAAAGTGCTCCTATTGCACACTGCATGCGTGAAGCCACGATGTGCAAACAGTGAGCGCACACCGAAGAATGTTAAGCTAATGCAAGGTATTGGCAGTTTGTGCATGTGTACGGAGAGAGTAAGGGAAATGATTAAAAAGCGTACATATGGAAAGCGCACTGCTGCAGGTGGAGCTCATCGAAGACAGCCAATGAAATTTACCAGTCGCAGAGAAGCAGAGAAAGGCGGAAGTGCTCGAGTGAGCTGCAGTCTGGCCTGTAATTGGCCCTGTCCTTCGAGCTCACGTGCCTGGAGCAATGCTGCAAGCCACTGCAAGCACTTTCTCTCACGACACCCAAAAATGAACGAACGTCCTGGTCTGCCAGAAAGCGCAATCGCAACAGAGGCCCCGTCTTTTACACTCGGCCGCTGCAGACTGGTGCATTAACACCTTGCTGGCTGCATCTGGCCGCTTAGCGGCTTCTTGCACTCTGCAAGGGGCTTCATAAGAACCGCTGCAGCCTCGAGATCTTCGAGGCCTGCAGCCTAACCTGCTAGTTTTCACGGATAATGTCTGGACGTAGTGGCAGATCCCCCTCGACTACCAGGCGCGAGGCATTCCGTGTGCCTATAGCCCTGCGACACCTCAACGGATACTTGCGTGCAGGGAGTGTTCTTAGTTAGTTCGGGGGCTAAAGTGGATCGGATGTATGACGATATGACGTGCACTCGGCGCATGTTCGAATTCACTTCCGCTTTGCGGAGCTCTTTGGTCGTGCAGTGCGCAAAGACATGCAAAGACTGGTTGCACAAATCTGGGGAAGCAGCGAAAGTCGCTAGCCACGCTAGCCGCTAGCCAAGCGGCAAAGGTGGCACTTCAAGGGGCAGCACACGAGCAGCTTCAGGCCCGAGCTCTTGTGTCCTGCACGGAGCTGCGCGGTCTGCGTTTTGCACGGCTTGGCAGGGAATGTTGGGTACCACCAGCCTCTGCCCGAGCGAAGCTGGTAAGTGAGCGATTTGCAGCTTGTCGTCCTGCTCGAGAAACAGAGAGAGGGAGAGCTAGTTGGGGCGCTTACTACACGTAGGTGCGTGATGGTGCATGGATATACACATCGCCGAGTGTGGAGGCTGATTCAGGGCAATACACAGGAGTGCAGGAAATACGCGTCAGAAAACTGCAAACACCTCCGTGGACGCCAACTCTGCTATCAATGCCCGAAGCTTCGAGACAACACCAAATCTGGTGGACGATGATGATTTCGGCACTGTTTATTTCTTGTTTCAATGCTTTTGAATCCCGCAGCGAATCCCACGGGCCGACACTCTCCGAGATCCACACAGCGTAGGTTTTCGAAGCCCGCAGCTGGCCGAAACAACCGAAAGTCGCACACCAAGCGAATCTGTAAGGGGATGCTGGAAAAAGGATCCACATGCCGAGTGCTCGGCAACAAACACTGCTGCTATTGCTGTGTCACAGACATCCAAAATGTTCGAAACCCGAGTATGACGCTGCCCTCTGCCGTGCTCATTACCGCGGGACTCGAAAGCCATTGGTCACGCTGCAGCCGGAAAATCTGCACAGCTGCACGAGCCTACGCATACGAAACGACAGGACGTAGAAGGTTTTGGGTCAAGGGAGGGCGCGAGTATGATCCCAAATGGTGGTTGCAACGGAGGCGCCATGCCATGCTCGGATCAGCCGGTGTTCCCAGCAAGTTCCGAACAAATTTGAAACAAGGAGGCCCAATGCAGAAGACACGCCAAGTCTAAAATGAGTGACCGGTTCCTCAGACCCGAAGCCTGAAAAGGAGTGACAGTGAGCGGTTGCGGAAAAGCGCGACCTTAGGCCAGACTGGCGTTGAATGAGTGGCAAGCGCCGCGCCCCGAAAGGAGTGAGCGCTGAAGAATCCTGAAATACTCCTGAAATCGTAAAGGGGTGTCCGTTCTTGCAAACCCAATGCCTAAACCCTACAGCCCTCAAAGGAGCGACTGGTTCTCAAAACCCAAACCTCAAAGGAGTGACCGGTTGTGCAAGACCAAATCCTGAGAGAAGCGACTGGTTCCCGAAACCCCAAAGCCCTAAAAGGGTGAGGAGTGGCGGAAAACCACAACCTCGAAAAATAATGACTTTTTGGCAAAAATCCAGGACCCCCAAATGGGTAGAATGGATGCCAAACATTAGTCGTGCCAGAGTGCCAGAACGAGTGACTCGTCAGAAACTCCCCAATTAACTTCTCAGTGTGGACAGCTGACGTTTCGATGCATGCCAGACATGGTTCCGAAATGCTAATGCCAGGGTGGACTTCAACCGACTAAAGTATGCATGCATGCAAGGCCAGCGACGTGGAAAAACTCAGTGTGGGCGCCCATCGATCTGTATTACCCTGCAGCGATGCAAATTAAACCCCTCCCTCCGCACCAAGAAGTCGCAAGAAGAGAAGCACAAGCAAGGATGCGCAGTGGTGATTTCGCGTGAGAACCACGTCCTCAACCACAGACTCTTGCTGCCTCCAAGAAAGCTGCTGTCATGCGTTGACATGTGCTGTCATCATGTTAGCCATTTGTCAGAAGCGGGGAGCATGAGCCTATCGTTGTCAAGAATGCCACCTTGCTTCTGCAACTGCAGAATGTGCTCCTGGCAATGGGCTCAAGATACCCAGAGCACTTTCCTAGGCATGCTACGAGTACTGAAGTCCGATCAGCAACAAAATTTGGCAATGTGCAGCATGTCTGCGTTCAGCAATGAGTGGTGATTTGCAACGGCACTGTGTGCCTCATACGTCGGCTTGTACTTTCGGTGATGTCTCCTGGAGCCGGTACCCAGGGAAAGGAGTTCGGGTCCAGGCCCTAGACCTCAGGCTGCGGCTGTTTCCGGATTGTTCCCGCGACGAAATTGGTAAAAACAAGAAGACTGGTAAAACAACAATACCCGTGGTGGTTTAGGGGGTTTCTGGCTCCGGGGGAGGATGCGGAACTGGGGCTGGCGTCCTCCCAAGCTCGGGAAATTTAGGCTTCAAGGAATACTTTCAAGCGGCGGCTCTGTCTACATCAGTTTGGCCAGCCCTAGCCGATCTGGCGCATGCACTTGTGCGAACATCCTATATCTTCGTGCGAAGCCCGCTGTTGGACACACCACTTCAGCAACGCCCGGTTTATCACGACTCAGCTGAGGGGAAGGGAGCACTGTATGGGGCAGCCGGGTCCTGGCTTCCTCGAGAATTGCCTTGTAAAACGGATGTCCTGGTCGGCTGAGAAAAGTCGCTGACTTTGCACAAGTGCCGCACTAGCCGGAGAATTGCAATGTCAGCGTCAGCAATAGGTCGCCTTTGGAGTCGAAAGCTTGTGCCGCATCCTCTCCGACTTCGGCCTCACACTGCGAC